TATATATATATATATATATATATATATATATATATATGGAAAAAGTCTAGAAAACCCAATGAGCTACTATATTTCAAGTGATTAAATCCTTAAACTTTGTAAAACCAAGAAAACCCCAACAAACTTTTATATTTTGAGAGATTAGATCCTTAAACATTTTGTTGAACGAATGTTCAAATGCAGTGACTTCGGACTATCTGCAAAACAGATGGTCGTCATAGGATTAGTCGGCTCGTATAGCGCGTTAGATATCCAGGTTAATAAAAAATATATTTTGTTGAACAATAAATCATTCCACTTATAAAATGAGATAAATTTAATATTTTCGCATTAAACCTCGTAACGCCTATTATTATTAAACCAAGATGTATAAATTTAAAATCTTTTTTGAACAACCATCTGTGAGCGTCTTTGGAAACAATATCTAAAATTTTTGACTGGTCTTTGATACATTAAAGAGTAATTTCTTGATTATGTTTAAAAAACTGGTATGATGTCTCAAAAAAGCTTTTATTGTATAGAGTTTTCGGATTTAATAACTGAAGACCATGAGTCTGAAAATTTTGAACTTGTTTCTAAAGAGAGAAAACTGATCTGGTCTATCAAAACTTTAATATCTTCTGAATCAGATAAATCTGGGTTACTTTGATTTAATTTTTTTATAAATTTGCCAATTTTAGGATGACAAATATATTTTTAAATCCGAGTATTTTGCTCTTTTAAAAAGTTTAGATTGGAATTCAGAGATAAAAAGATATCGGAGATTTCTAGACTTTTTGATATATAATGTGACAAAAAAAAAGATGAGTGAAAAAAAAGTCAAAAATACCCCCACCCCCAATGAATAGAACAAGCGATCTGCCCATCACTTATTCACTTGACCCTGCCCTGCAAAACTGAAAAAAGAGGTGAAAAGCAAAGGGAGAAAGGGGTCACTTTCACCATAGAATTTATAAATAATAAATAAAAATAAATAAATAAATAAAAAAGGAGTTTAAAATAAAAAGGGGTAGCTGTTATTGTTGTCACAAAAATGATCAAACAGTTTTTGACACCACACTGCACACCATCATTTACACTTACTCCAATGTATCCCATTCCCCTCACCCCTCAAATACACCACTAACTTCGTTCATAATTACATTATATATTATTTTTAATTTATATGTATATATAAATTTAATAAAAAAATACTAAATTAATTTTACAATAAATTTATTGAATTATGTTTTACATATTTTAAAAGAAAATAAGTGTTTATAAATTTATTCAAATCCAAAATAAATTTTTGTTATATCTATTTTATGTGTAGCTGGTTATTATGATGATTTACGTTACTACATAATAGAAGGGTATTTGCGTAATGTAACGAGATATATCTTGATTTTAATATTTTGTTTTATTCTTTATTTTAGTCGATGTTATAATATGATTTTATGTGATTTTAAAATGTGACTATATTATTATTTTTGAATAAAATATAAATTTAAAGATATCATAAAAAATTGACAAAAATATATCGATATTAGTATCAAATTAAATATTTAAAATTTCTTATTTTTGTGTGTAATTTTTTAATTCAGTTTTTTTAATTATAATTTAGTTTATGTTTAATAACGAAGTAATTTATATTTTGGGTTAATAATATAATTTTTTTATAAAGATAATAATTAATTATTTTGTTAGAATCGATAATTATCTTAATTATTTTTTATATTTTAAAATGAGATGTTTATCCTCTATTTGATTATGTTTATCTGCAGTTAATTACACGAATTCAAATATGGARCTTTAATAAGCTGTATTTACGCACAATTTACTTGTAATCTTGAAATTTAAGTAATATGAATCAATAAACAATACTTCGTGCATAAAAACTGATTTTTAAAAGTTTTTGTTAAATGCTTTATAATATAGTATATATTAAAAATATTGTTATTTTACTTAAATGATTAATAGCACACATTAATAACATGTTGTAGATTTAGAAACAAAACATAATTTAACTGGTTTATCTTTTTACATTAATTTATACTATACTGTAATTTCTTCTGTTATTTTTCATTTTTAATCATAAAAAGCTGTATTTTAGTTATGATATTGTATTACATTTACATTGTGGTGACTATCTTAACAAAAGTTTAAGAAAAATATGGTGTAATAACGTTTTCTTAGGTTTTAGACCATTTCTGATGTTGTATTTATACAATTTTGAGCGTAAAAAGTTCAAAAATAATCTATAAAATTTGGGTAAAACAGTCTGTGTAACTGAATGAGAGTAGATTTGGTTTGATTTAGGTTTTGTTATTTATGGTTTATGGGAAACTGAATGAACCATGGTATATTTACTTATGATTATATTTTATATTTGTAAACTATTCTCGGGTTCAAATAATATTCACTGTAACTTATTTACGGATACGTTATTCTTTCATGAACCAAATTTCCGATACAGAGCGCATCACGAGCGAAACTTAAATTCCTCTTATCTACTGTAATGAATAACCAATAACTATACCAAACCTAATTTCTGGATTATGGGTTGTTGGGGTGTTCATCTAAACCGTCAAACAACCATCCACATAGCACCAAACTGCACTACAAAACACGGTTTAGAACTTTCGCGGTGCGGTTTTCTTGTTTTGAGCTGTCAAACTGTGGTTTATACTACTGTACCACACCTCACATTATATATATACATATACATACATACATACATATATATATATATATATATAAACTTTTATATATGGTTAATGATTGTGTGAGAAAGAGAGATTATGTGAGAACCGTAAGAAGGGATCAGGACCCTTAATCACCTTTAATCTCAAACTCACCTATGAATAGTGCATGATTAGAGGATTGATCTAATGCCTCTAGGTGCATCTCATCCTAATATGCATTCAAGGGTGAAGATTCCTTCTTATGCCTTCTCACTTTAAATCTCATTCTCACCGGAACCAACTCTTTATCTATAATATACATATACATATAATAGGTTTCAATGAGAAGCGTAAGGAACGGATCAATGCCCTTCTTAAACGCAATTTCATGGTTGGACATGAGATTAAAAATGATTAAGAGTTCAGATTTTCTAATACGTTTCTCACACGATCCTTCGTCATATAAAATATCTGCTAATTTTCATAATGTTATTAATCTATGTTCTCCATGGTACATTAATGACAGTAAAAAATTATAGCCTAATAATCCATTAGGTTCTTTTAAGCTTTAATCATTCATGACATGATTTCTCAATTTTTTTTTTCAATTTTGTGTTGATCTCCGACTTCTGTCTTCCAGCTCAAGTTACTTTAAAGTCTTAACGATTTAGTTTCAGTTTAATTTATTTACTTCTTAGACTATTTCTAATTTATGTAATATGTATTTAGAAATCAGACATATTGAAACAGTACATTATTTGTACTACAGTTAGATATAGTTAATTTTATAATATTGGATTGCAGACATAAAGTGCGGTAGATACAAACCGTATAAACCGCACCACACCACACAGCATTTCGTGGTGCCTTTTTTTTACGGTTTGAGGTGTAACAGTTTAGGAAAAATGCTCAAACCAGATGCAATGTGGTTTGGAGTTTGCCTTTTTTTTTTCTTGAAACCGCACCACAAACATCGTTACTGAATTGTTTAAAAAGGTTAAAAACCGATGAACTCAAAACAAATAACCCAAATCCGACTAAACCGACGAATAACATTTGACACAAAACCAATTTTATACACATGGCGTTATTGGATTGGATTGGCTTGGCTTTTCCATACCTCATTTTCCCATAATACGAATTGATCTCATATTTTGTTTTGATATTATGAATATTAATTGCTAAAACACCAAACTTAATTTAAGATTATGTATTTATATTATATCTATAACAAATTTTATTTTAAAACAATGAACTTAAAATTTGGTGTTACATTTACCCTTTGGTGGAATGTAGCTTCTATTCATTCATTTAATTTTATTAAATATTTAATAATAAATAAATATATAGTTTTTATGTAAACTTAATTTATGGATTACATCGGTACCAATTTTTTCGGTTAGTACTGCTTTTATATCAATTTCAAATTAAATAAATGTAAACTAGCAACTGTATCCAAATTTTTAATCGAAATTTTAATCGAAAAGAATAAAACTTGATTTAAAAGCCGAAACAATTAATTAAAGTTACAAGGTTTAATATTGGAAACATAAAACATTTAAAAATTATGGGTTGTTTGGCGGTTGCTGAATGGTTTGGTGGAGGATAATTAAGTGGTCAGAATGATTAAGAAACTCTCATGATACAGTGCAAAATAAAATATAATTATTTGGTAATTATTTACAACGAAATTAGGGCGTTAAATGGTTAAGAGAGGCCCAGGATACAAAATCATTAAGATGGTTTTAAGTTTCATTAAGAGACAAACTTTTTTTTGTCAAACAAGATTTACCTCTTAACGATTCAGAGGTTGTCTATTAATGAAACTATTAAGAGGTAAACAAACAACCCCTAATAAATAATTAAATTAGTCGGGACGATGATTGTCTGCAACTTTCAGTAACATGTACCAACCAAGTTTGTATACTTGATACAATATTATCAATAAATACTATAATTGATACCGATAAAATGTTAATTGATAGAGTTGATTATGCGGATTAAGGGCTGGACTGTTTGACAGTTGTTGAATGGTTTGGTGCAAAATGATTAAGAGACTCTCATGATATAGTGCAAAATAAAATATAATTGTTTGGTAATTGTTTACGATGAAGTTATGGCACTTAATGGTTAAGGGTGACCATGATACAAAACCATTCCGATGATTTTAGAACCATTAAGAAACAAAAACAAGATTCTTAATGAACGACAAAATAAAAGATTACTTGCTAATAATAATCATAACAATTATCCACTCATTACATATTTGGTGAGAAAAACCACTAGAAAATTAAACTCCATTGATGAACACTCAACAAATGGAATTGAAGCTTATTTTCTTAACTTAATCCAGGATGATGGTTAGTTCCACTAATCATGTGTTGATGTTGGATTAAGCCGCCATTAATCTGTTCAACAAGCTTACTCAACTTCATCTGCTTATTACTCCATGATTCCATTAACTTCACTTCTTTCCCATCTGCATCTCTCTGTAGAGCACTCAATTGTTCTCTGTATTCGTTCTCCATCCGCCCTAACGCCGCCGTCTCCTCCTCCCTCAAACACCGTATCTTTGCCTCTATCTCCTCCATCTTCTCCCTTCTCTTCCGGCTTTTCTCGGCTTCCAGCTGTTGTTCCAGCCGGCTCAGCCGCCATGTCGCTTCTTTCTTGTGTTGAACCCAGTTCTGTTTAGCTTCTTCCACCTCTTTACAGTACTGAACCAGCGTACCCACCTGCTGAACCGGGAAGAACCGGGATGGGTGAGGGTGGTCGGAGTGAACCGGGTCGAGAACCACCGGTTCTGATGGGGAAAGGGTCAGGCTGACGGAAGGTGATGGAGTTGTTGACTTTGAAGAAGAAGACGACGTTAAACACGACGTCGTATTGTTGTTGTTCATCCATGGTGGAAGCATATTAGGTGCTGAAACATTCGGTTCGGGTTGAGGAGTAGAACCCGACCCGAGAGAAAGAATCGGTGAGTTCAGATTCGGCATTACCACCGCCGGTTTTAGGTAGGGTTGGACGTATTTCTCAGCGAATGTCTCCAGAATATGGTCGTAAGTCCCCTGAACAGCTCGTTCCGGCGAGCCACAGCAACCGGAGGCAACCGCCACAGACGGGGGCGGCGGCGGAGGATTCGAAGTAAACGATCCGGATTTCTTATGATTCTGAATCTGCTGCTTGATCTGTTTCTCCTTGAAAACCTCCCACCACTTTCCGAGACGTTTGGCGGTGCGGCCAGGGACCTCCGATGCGATCTTCTTCCACTTGTTGCCGTACTTGGCCTGAAGCGAGATGACGAGCGACTGTTCTTGCGGAGTGAGGGAACCCTTTTTGATTCCGGGTTTGAGATAATTCTTCCAACGTTCGAGACAAGATTTAGGGTCACGATCTAAGGGTTTGGACATGCGTTGAGAGATGAGATTCCATTCTCGAGGGCCGTACTGATGAACGTAGGCACGGAGGAGGGCGTCTTCTTCGGGCTGCCACCGTTGACGCTCCTTCATCTCGTCACCATGTCTAAGTAATGGCGGATTGAAGATTGGGGAGGGGAGGGGAGAGAGAGTAGAAATGGAGGATGGAATGTGTGGAAATGGGGATCGGAGATATAAAAGCTGGTGGGAGGGAGGAGGTGGGGGATGACAGTGACAATACATGGATCAGATGATAGGAGGGGACTTGTTGCCATGCACGCGCTCGTTATGTCATTTCATATTTTCACTCTAATCTTTTTATTTCTACTTTTTACTATTTATATATATATATATATATACATAGTTGGTTTCATGTGAGACAAGTTTATTTTCGTAACATTAAAAAATATTATTAAAATATTACAGCAAAACATTACGAAGGTATGAAAAACATTGAGTGTAAACAAGAAAAACACTGTGAATGTTTACCTTTAAAGTGATTTACTGTAATGTTTCAGTGTTATTTTTATGTTGTCTTATTGGTCTCATAAAAATAGATTGGTCTCGCATGATCTTAAGTTTATGTATGTATATATATATATATATGGGGTTGAGTTGAGGAAAAGTTGAGTAACTTTATAATTACCATTCATTTGTATGGTATTCATATGTTTTTACAAGTAATTTTCTAGTATACACATGTGCATAACATGCACACGTTCATAGGAAGCAGGAAATATCTTAATTCATTTGAATGCACATGTGCATAATGTGCAAATTAACGATGACTAGGATGTTCATCAGTTTTTCATTTTTCGGGGGGTTTTACTCAGAACCCTCCTCTCTCTATGTGTGTGTGTGTGTGTGTGTGTATTTATGGATTCAAACGATAACACATACTTTTTTATAAAAACGCGAGGATACTCTTTTATTACAGAAAATCACATGTGATACTATAGTCCATCATATGTGATAATGAATTAGATGCAGACCACTTTTGATGTGATCGTAGGTCGTGGCAAGTCGCCAAAGCATATTCTATTGTTAATGAGAGATTGGAGTATTTGATGGTGGCTTTGGAAACTCAAAGTTTTCCAAATTAATCGTTCTAAGATAAAATGTCAATTTCAGGGGGAATGTGTAGACGAGGGGTTGAAGTCAACGATCTGGGCAAAGGGTACTACAAAATTACCGTTCAAAGTATATAGTTCAATTAGAGGGAGAGGTCAAGAAAGATGAACACATTGCATAATTGACGGAGGATAAAGTAGATAGTTGTCATAAGGCTAATAGTGTGACAAGAATATTCCATCAAAGATAAAGGGCAAAATTTATAGTGTAGTCATTCGTTTATGGTCCATCTATGATGTATAGGTCGTTGAGGAAGTACAAATTTGCTGAAATGAGGGTGGTTAGGCGGACGTTGGTACGAACCATGTTAGATAGAATTTCGAAGGTGGTTTTCCCCATAGGTGTTGGGAGTTTACCCAAAAAACGACTATAGTCGTCCGTCCAACTATGATATATGGAGTATTCAGATGAAGTAAGAAGTTGCGGAAATGAGGATGGTTAGGCGAACTGTGGTCGGGACCATGTTAGACATATTTTGAATGAGGTTTTCCCTAGAAGAATAGGATGTTAACCTGATAACGTCAATATCCATCTGTCCACCTATGATGTATAGGTCCATGAGAGGAAGAAGTTGCAGAAATGAGGATGGTCAGGTGGACGTGTAGTCGAACCATGTTAAACAGGATTTCAAAGGAGGTTTCCCTAGAAGAGTTAATAATGGCTAAATTGAAATATTAGGGATCGCATTGGGTTGGGCATCTTCGTAGGAGACTGATGACGACACCAATAAGGAGATTAGCAAGATTACTATAAAGGGGTGAGGAGGAATGGAAGGCCGACATCATAATTAGGACATGAAATGAGCAATTGAAATTGGACATGGCTGCCTTGGATATTATCCAAGACATTACCTCTAATAAGATCATTTGGACATGAGGATCAGGGTTATAGACCAGGAATGCGGACCTATAACTGGCATAGTCGGGCAGAAGGGATTTGTACAAGTTAAATGGAGACGTAGGGCTAGCAGTTTAAGCTAGGGGGTGTTTTTGTTGTATATGCTCTTTGTGGTACTGTCTTACCTTACATTTTGTATGTCTTCAATGTACCTTTTAAGTACTTATACTTAATTTTCTCATGCTTCGTCTTCCATATTATAATCTTTCTTCTTGCTACTTGTTTGCTAAAACTTTTTGTACAATCCAAGGGTCCTCAAAGAAACAGTCACTCTACTATTTCTGACAGAGGTCATTTCTGAGTACGTTTCACCCAACCAAACCCTATTAACGGGTGGGATTTATTGGTCTGTATATTTTGTATTGATGGGTTTTATAAAGTCCATAATGTAACAAACAAATTTATTATTATGGTTTTTAAAAACTTCAATAAATAGTGTAATTGGTTTATGAGATTTTTGTTTTTGGTTTATATTAGCATATTTAAAAGTAGTAGTCGAATTAAAAATGAAGTGAAAATATGATGAGTGTAGTAGAATAATATATATATATGTGTGTGTGTGTGTATGTATGTATGTATGTATGTATGTACGTACGTATGTATGTATGTATGTATGTATGTATGTATGTATGTATGTATGTATGTATGTATGTATGTATGTACGTATGTATGTA